AGAGAAACTTCATTAGCTCCTTCTAGGCACACAAGTGCATATTCTGTTGCATTTCTTTATCCTTGTGAGAGAGTAGCATGGGTGTGGAGGGGATTATCTTCATGTTGCTTACAAATCTTACTTAGGATGAAGAAATCTGTTTCTGTGAACTGTAAAAACTGAAATTAAATCCTGTTTGAAGCAGATGGATAACTTAGATGGCTTAGTTGCTCAGAAGTCTCATTCATTCCTATTTACATACAGTAGCTTCACGTAGTCAGAGTGAAGGTAAGTGTGCAGAACTGTATCTATAGCAGGTGTAACTGCGATACGGAGCACCCTTCTTCCATTTAATTTCTGCATTTTGTTAGCTTGAGAAAAAAAAGTTAGGTTTTTGTTAGAAACCCACTATAATGACACTATTGTTTCATTTAACAACAAGCTCAATATTTGTTACTGGTATTTTAATTTATGAGTTCATTAATTGTACCGTATAATCTGCAAATGGAGTAAAATACTAAAAAAATCTTATGTTTTAATAAATATTTTTATTATTTAATACAGTTTGCTTTATAGCCTTAAATTATTTTAACTTTCAACATTTACTGCTCATAATTGTTTATATATACTGTATATATTGTTCAGACATGGTTTTCTTCTTACTTCTTACCTACTGTATGGTCGGACACTGTTTTGATACCACACATTACGTGAAACAGATTCTTTAGATTTAATAACTACATTCCAGATGCATTTGATTCCAATGGAACTGTCCAAGTTTGGAATTCCTAATCCAGCATTTGTGATGAAAAAATGATTATACGGTATTGAGGTATTTGTTATTCATCTTTCACCGCTTAATGATTTTTTTTTCTGCTTTGGTTGTACAGTGTATATATATAGCCAGATGGTTCTTGGTGTCACATTGAGGGGTAATTAAAATATTTTTGGCCCGTGTTTTTGCAGTACAGTGAACAGTAAAATTCCTCTTACCTTAAAGCAGCTGTAACTGCACATTTAACTTGCATTGTGTAGCGTCAGGTGTGTCCCATCCCAGCTGGTGCATGTGATTGCAGTGCTTGGCAAGCTGGTAGCACACCTGTGATAGAAGTGTCAGAAAGGAGGTCCTCCAAGCAATTTTACAATACATACTCCAGGCAAGGATAAGAGCAGGATACCCACTTTGTAAAATTCTGTTTGTGTGCAAATCTTCTGTAGTACATATGACTCTAAACTGCACCTATAGTGATTAAATAGAATTCCAAAGGTTTGACATTGGAAATGATGTAATTAATTTACAATCATTCTGATTTCTTCAAGTGAGCAGAATATTATTCCAGAGTTCAAAGAATGAGTAAGCTTTTGATGACTTATGGATAGGGTCATCTTGATAAGGAACCATTTCAGCTAAATATGAAAAAGCCAATTTCCAAGATATTGATTAATAATATTCAAGGTCTTTACATAAACACAGTCTTTGGGACCTGATACAAGTATTCAAAATCTACAAAGGCAGTGACAAAGTCAGCACAGTGGATTTCTTCAGACTTACCAGTGGATGCAAATGGAAATGTACAGTATACAGTATGTGCATTTAACACATCTTTACCTAAACTTTCATAAACTCAGCCTTGTTGTTGAAGGAGATCAAGAGAAAGCTGGATGAGATCTTTGGATCAATTAGCTACTAAATACCAAATGTGCAAGATGGGCCAAATGGACTCCTCTTGTTTGTAACCTTTCTACTGTGCTTATGATTAGATAGTCCTTGCCGGAATATTATAAGTTACAGATAATAATAATGTTTGTTTCCTCATTGAGCTATTACACAGTATGATGTGTAGATGTGGACATATTGTATAGGAATAGAGACATGCAAATACTGATGGATTTCTAAATGAAGTGTTACAGGAGTCTTATAAAGCAGAAGATGGCAACAGAAAACAATGAACAATGCGGCGAGAAAGACAAAGGGAGTGAAAAGATCATTGTGACTGACTTTAATGGAAAGACCTTTGAAACTGCTTGGACACAACTGCAGAATGAATGATGACAGGCTGAAAAAGACAGCAGTGTTTGGCATCATGGCAGGGAAGAACAAAAGGGACAAGGACGTGGGTGGGTGATAGAGAAAACCAATGTCAGAAGGATCTATACAGGTTTAGTCAGTCAGCTGGCACTGGATAGAACAAAATGGAAAAGTATTATCTATCAAATCAATGGGCAGTATGCCAACAGAGACTAATGATGATGGGGATGAAGACAGAATCCACTGATTCGATATGTACTAAACATTTAAAATATGTATAGCCAGAATTTCTGTAATCCTGAATTAATTTCTGAATTAATTTCTTCTGCTAGATATTGATGATTTAACAATTGTAGGCAGTCAATAGTTCTTAGACATAAACCTCAACAGCAAAAGAAAACAGGCAAATAATAGTTTCTGACACAGTTAAAATTATATTATTTCAACTTTGGTAAGCGAGAAAGGAAACTCAAAGTGTTGCTGAGAATATTAGCATTATTTCTATTTCTTTCACCTGCATGTAAGGACAACAACTTGCAAAACAGAAAGGGCACAGTACATACTGTAAGTGTTTTTGCTACTGGTATGGGAGAAAATTACTGTCTTCAGAATAAATGATTTTCCAACTATACACGAGAAGGTTTGCATCTAAGGGTATTTGACATATAGTAACTATATGTTACTTTGTATTTTTCACTCTGAGTCATTGCAAATTTAATGGCTGGGAGTGAATGAAGTGGGGAGCATTTGGTTTTTATTTTTATCCTTTAACTTATAAATTCAGTATTTGCTTTAAAAATTCACACACTTAATGTATTATCTTTATAATACATTGTATTTTATAGTACATTACAATACAAAGTATTGGCTTCATAAAGCACAGTTTGCAAGAAATGAGAGGTTTTGAGATGCATTTCTTGAGAAATGCCATGTCATATGAAAGTAACTCTCACATGCTTTAAGACAAATCCTTAGACTACGTATTTTTATTTTTGTATGGTTCATCTTCATTAATATTTTTATTCAGTATTTGAGGAATACTGTCTAGTATAGTTTGTGTATTATGATTCAGGAACATGTAACTCATTTTTCATAAAGTCTTGTATTTGTTAGACCATCAGAAAGCTTAGAAACCATGTATTTCCTGCAAAACAATTGTCGGCCCACTGAATTACACTAGCATGAAAAACGAGATGGAGAAGAAACTATTTACACTTCCATCTAACTGGGGCTGGGGATTGGTAATTAAAAAAATACCACAAAGAAGCTGTATAGCACAGGGATATTAGCACTCACAGGGAGAGAAAGATTTATGTCATCTTGCCTCTGAGGGAAAGAGTCTTTAACAGGAATACAAATTAATCTTGTATGAAGTGTGTTTTTAGTCTTAACCCAAAATAGTAGCCTATAAGTCCTTCACTAAGGATGGAATCTATTTTCTGCGGTATGTTTTGCACACTGCCTACACTATAGACCAGGTTGCTTGGCCTGGCATTGTTTTAAATGCCATCCCAGTCTAAAATTCTAAAGTTGTTCTTTTGAATAGTTATACAGAATTTCTCAAGCTATCATTCCAAAAGAAATTGATTTATTGATCAACCTCTTAGTCTAACAAAACAGAAACTGTGGATTTCTTTTACATGCACAGCAACCTCAATACCCATTACGTTAGATTCTGAAATGAAAATTTGTGTTTGTTGTCATAAGCACTGTTCACTGGCACTCGTAGGAAAGCAGCCTTAGAAAAAGGGTTTTACATCAGCAACGTAACAGAGCCTTCTAAAGTCTGAGTTTGTCTCAAGTCCCTGAATGGCTCAGAAGCCCTCAGTTAACCTCTCAATGGGAATTAGTGCAAGCGACATTATACCAGGGTACAAGACGTGCAAATGGGGTAATGCAGAAGACATTTCCTTGGAGATGCATCTTCCTTTCCTCCACAGCGGAGCTTGCATGAGAGTAGTTGAAACAGGCCGGTTGTTTTCAAATACACCTTGTCTGGCAAGTATCCATTTCTCAGTTATAGACCTAACCTTACTTTAGAAAGACTGATTAAATAAGAAGTAAAGAGAAGTGTATACATTTGTGCTCCCGGTTCAATCTTTAGTGAAGCAGTTTTGAAAAAAGGTGCACCATCCAACAGTTTCCCAGAGGCAACCAATTAAATATGTTGAACTTGTGTGCAAGTGATTTAACCAATGTAAAGGAGTCAACTCAGGGGTCCCATCTGTCCCAGTTAGTAGGCACCCTCAAAGATCTAGTAATTACCAGCAGCAAAGCCTGAAACGGGGATGGTGAAGGTCACACTGGAGGAACAACATGCCATGGTTTTATTGAAGTGTTTTATAGGCAAGAGTAAAGACATAAAAATGTATTGTTAACTTGGAATTTTACAAAGAAAATGATTTTGAATCCAGAAAAGGGTGGCCATTTCTCCATATATTTTGGATATCACCAGGTTTTTCATACTGTACAGTATGTAACCAGGTTATAACTCATGATTATTAATTATTAATCTGTATATAACAAAGCTGCATTTGGAATGAATACTATAAGCAAAAGCTCCTGTTTAAAGCGTTTAAACCATGATTGTGTGAACATTACTTTAGTAGTTTTGATTTTATGTGCTTGCAAAATAAAACCTCTGCAATTCTAAAACCTGGAAAATGTTCAATTTCCCTTTTTATAAAATGGAATTATAATGTGCCGTACATGATGAAATGCATGGGACTTTATTCACGTTGGTGTTGCTCATGAATATGGTAAGATAAAATCTTGGATCAGTCGAAGCACTGCACTCTTTTAGTCCATCATATTTATTGCATTATTTAGCTAATCCAACCGGGATTATCTGATTTGGCAGAATATCATATTCCTGTGTGGTGGAACCCCACTAATTTTTCAAGAGGTGCTCAACCGTTTTTTAATCTTTGTGCAAGATATTATGTTTTATTTCCAGATACTACTACATATGTATGATGCCCTTTATTTTTAGGGACGCTCCTGGTTGATAATATGCAAATCAAAGGACGAGTGGAAGGTCCGCAAAGAACTATCTCTTTATCCCTGCGGGACAACTACGATCACTGGGTGATTTTGGATCCAGTACGACAAAGGCTTTATCTTAACAGCACTGGCCGTGTTCTCGACAGAGATGTAAGTGCTTAACATGTTTATAGCTTTACTGCTTGCAGATAGTTCTGTTGTTTTTTTCTTGCTCGATAGGAGAAACTCTGTTCCATTTAGCAGACCAATATATTGCTCTGCCTGTCTGACCTGATCTGACTATTTGTGGAAATCATTTTTAAAAGATCCCTAAAATGACCTATTTCCCAGTGACTCCACTTATATAATTAGCTGTGAATTAAAATATTAGCCATGAACGATTTAACAATATTAACATGCCGTAGCTCATATACAGTACCATGTCAAAGTTACACATTTTCCTATACCAGCCTACTGTATGTTGCATCATTTTCCACCTTGCTGACAATGGCCAAGTGAATGGAGTCAAGAATGTAACTTCATTGCACTGTCTGTGAGCAGATGAGTATTTCTTGCTCAAAAGTATTTAAAGTCACAGTTCTCTGTGTTTTTCCTTTCAGCCCCCCTCCTCCATCCAGTCCATTGTGGTCCAGGTGCAGTGTACAAATGAGCTTGTTGGTACTGTGATATTGCATGAAGTCCGGATTGTGGTAAGAGATCGCAATGACAATGCTCCTCGCTTTCAGCAGCCACGCTACTATGTGGCAGTAAATGAGGTTAGTAACTGGTATTAAATCATCTGGTACGTATAAGGAAGTTAAACAAACACTTGCTGCAAAACTATTAAAGATAGAACTTGTAAGGCTTCTGTATACTGTATGTTGTATTATCTTTATAGCACCTTGCTATAAAACTTATTTAGTAATAAATTCACTGAATCAGTCTGCTACATGTCCTGAATAAATGCATTTACTAAAATAATGTCACTTTTCATCTTACATGATGTTATGAAAATGTGCTGTTGGATATTATTTATCCTTTTGAAACTTAGCAAAAATGATGGAAGCAAACATTGGGAAGAATTGAATTTGTCACTCTGTTATGGTATAAAAGTTGTGTTCCTTCAGCTGTTGCACAAATTAACACAAAGACACGGGATGCACAAAAGGGAATTATAAATCAGTTGCCAGAAGTAGACTTTAAGAGCCTTGGCTATTGTTCCATCAAGGAAAACCTGGGAATTATCTGTTTCATGCTTTCATCATGCAGACCTGAGTCTTCTTCCAGTAAAAGTCTGTGGGTCTTCAATGGCATCATTAACCATTGAAAGGCTCCAGGCTGATTTATAGTATAACAACCTGTGAATTCCATTGGTGCTGACAGGTGCTGACAGCTCCATAAAATATTAAAAATAAGGAAATATTTAAATGCGCAGTCTAGATCCAATGTTAAGACACTTCCAAAAGACATATATATATCCATATTTAGTCACAGTTTGTCACATGTGAATGTATTAGTAGATGAATGCCACAATTTGGATTATTTACTTGAAAGTTTAAACTACCGAAAGCTGAATGTATAGGTTGGACAGACAGCAGAAGCCTGAAAACACCTGACTTAAAAGCCACTGCAGTGATTTTTTTAATCATATAAATTCATGTCACATAGCTGCTGCTGATAAGGGTTTATAAAGCAACCCCACATAGATCAACATAGGATATTTCAAATGGCTCATCTAAAAATTCAGTGAGAAGGATAACAAATATTATTTTGAGACTTTATGAAGTTTGTGCTTTCACTTTTTTATAATTAAAAACATTTGCTAAACTTTAAGGCAAAAGAAAATTCCTCTTGTTGCCTAGTGAGTTTATATGGTATAATGATCAATTCGGCACTTTGCCGATTTTTTCATTCTGCATAGCTACTTTTCATCTATATGATCCGAAAAAAGGGAAAATGAGGTATAGGATAGAATGTGCAGTGAAGTAGTTCGCACACTGGGTATGAAATAGATACAAAGTGATTTTGTGGCTTTTACTTAATTGGAATTGGTTCCCTAGGGTGCTGTCTGGCTAGTTTTCTCTCATTAGGCAGCAGCCTTGAAGAGCAACATGGAAGCCCCTGTAGCTTTCTAGAAGAAGTTTTTAAATTGCTGTTTGCCCCCAAATTCTTTGTGTTGTTTTCTTGAAGAGTTTAATGTGACACACATTGACGCAAAATTGTTTCCTTCACAATTAAGTCAATCAGTGTCCTCAATATTCCTTGTCATTTAAAGTGTCAGATAACCTTCAAAAATATAGTTCTACAGTATTTATGAAGCTCAAGCATCTCTATTAAATGCTACATTGTATGTATTGTACTATTAGTATATAATTCGTTACACTGTGGCTGTGTTGTGTGTGTCAAGCTGCTGTTGCACTGCAATTTCCCTCACAGGATCAATAAAGTATCTATCTATCTACATTAGAACCCGCTAAAAAATGCCTTCATAACTCTTTCATAAAAACTACACAACATGATGTAACATCATGCATACATGCATAATCTTTTACAACTATTTGAGCAAATGTCGTTACAGACATGCGATTATTTGTAATAGTTCATAAGACCAAGACGTTTCCGACAGAAGTTAAGAGCAGAACTCCAGTTGAAGGGAAATCAGTTGAAAATGACAGATGATACCATCAAGGACTTGAGAGCCGACAATGATTTTCTGCAGTTTATACATACAATATATGGTGTTGTGCAGTCTTACCGAAAGAGCTGATTCAGGGTTTTTGTTTAATTCAAGAAAAAACATTACTGCAGAATTAGGGTTTTGTGCAAACACTACAAAGCTTATAGATGCAGGGGTACCTAGCTTTATATGTGAACATAAGAATGCAACTCACGGCACAGTTTAAAGATGAATGCACAGAGTGACTATGATGATATGAATCCAATTTTGTTTCCAGGATTTTGAATAAATTCCCACCAAGTTCAATTTTTCCAATAAACCTCACTAATAGGACATTATGCAAATACAGTCCTGAACTTACAAATGCATGCTGTCTTGGGAAGGGCAACAATTTTCTGATTCTACCTGTTATTATTTTATCAACCCTGGATTTAGAGTAATTCACCATCATATTCTGGAAAGTCAAATTAAGAGATTGAGCTTTTTTAGAGCCATCTAAACTTCATTGTGTATCCTGTATTTTCATCAGGTTTTTTTATCTTTTTATTGTTGATCTAAAGCTACTGTAGTTGTAGTCTTTATAAACTCAGACCAGCACCCCGTGGCTATTATTGAAATCTCTTTCACATTTTGAAGTAGTACTGTGTCTATTTCTTTCAAAATGTTTTTTCTTCAAGACACAATATTTTGATATTTTTAAAAACTGCTGAAAGGCAGCAAGGGAGTTAATCATGCATTTCTAATCATGAATTTCTGGAATGTATCTCTGGTCACTTGGTGCACATGAGTGATCAAGTGAACTGTTTTTGGTTTTGTTCCACAAAAAAATCAAATTAAACCCACAGTGGTTTACTGATGCATGAGGATATACATTAATAACCAGGTTATGAACCAAAGATTTTACTTTATGTGCAACAATGCAGTAACCGCAAAGCATGTAATATTAATATCTTTAATCTTGGTGCACCTGTTGTCCAATAGTATAATTTGCTTAAATTGCACACCGTATTGTGCTAAGAAGGCTGTACAGTGTACAGGTCACATTCTACTGATTATTTAAGCCAGCAGTCAAATCACTGACATTGTGTAATAAATGAGAAAGAAAAATTGTGAAATATTTTTCTTGAGTTAAAAGCTGATTTTATTCAGCTGATTTTAAGATGTAAATACTGTATAAAGGCTGCATTTAATCTCGTATATAAAAAAACTTAATCCTGTTAACCATCAAATTATTTTTTTGTAACAATACTTATTTTGGAATTCTTGTCATAAAATATGTTTTTGCAAACCCCTGTGACGAACACCAGCTGCAAGTGCCCATGATTGCAGAACAGCAAAGTGAGGCTGATTAAACGAGTAGGCAAGCTTTAATCATAGTGAAGATGCCCGTCTCGACAAACTGACATTGATAAGCAAACTTGTGTATTGCAATCACTATTTTGGCACATTTATGTTTTTTTTCCTACAAACCACTTTACCAAGAAGTGTAATCGAAACATGCACTATCACTGCTTAAATTTAGACGCATCATCTACTTAGGTTTGATTCCATCCTGCATTTGTTGTACAACACATGAACTACTGCATACTTGATGAGGATTATTTGATTTGTGTGTTGAAATCAGCAGAATTACATTACTTCTTACAATGTTAAATTGTTTTTTTTTACTATATCAATGGGTGTTGGGGAGGATATTTTTAGCATACATGAAAAAATACATCTGCTTAATTTTTCCCATTGTTTTCATCAAAGTATTTTAAGATTATTTAAAATGTTTTTATTAAAATTGAATATTTAGCAGGCAGCAAAATACCAGGACTTAATGCATTGCTAAATTAACTAGCGACAATCATCTTTAATGAAAGCATATGGTCTATTATGAGTTTTCTTCTGCTTTTTACGAAGCTGAAATTACATTTAGAAATGTTAAATGAATGTTTGACATTTTTTTAAAATCTAGGGACTAAGGTATTCATCCTTATGAATAATTGAATAAATCACAAAATGTTTAAGTTATTTTAAACAATATTCAGAATTCTTTAATAACCAATTATAACGTTTGCTAAGATCTACCCTTATTAGTTGATTTGCCACTTACATATGAAATAATAAGCAATAAACAGTTTTAGTGTGAATAAGAAGTAATGCATTGTTTGTTTAACTCAGAATTTAAATGGTTACTTAAATGTTTATACTGTATTTTACCTCTGGACTTAGTTTGTTTCAGTCTTCTAGAGGATTTGATGAGATGTTTTCAGATTTTGAAGAAATATATATGTACTGTATTATTCATAATTGTAGGTTATCTTGAATCAATCTGCACCGTTACATCATCATTTGAATTTAAAGCTGTTTTTAAGACAGACATGAATAATTCACATATTAACTTGCATCATAGAAAGTAAATTGGAATTTCACTTATTAATTTCCAAAGACAATAGGTATTATTTGAATGCATAAAGCATTCAGTGTCTCAATGTTTTGTCTTTCTGTTAGTAAACGTAATCATTGTTCACTAAATTGTTAAGCCCATATACATCACCTTGCCAAAAACTGTAGATGCAGCTGTTTTGCCTTTGTTCAATACGTTCTTATGGACATTGTCCACTTAAATAACAGATTACAAGTTTGGACGAATCCCAGATACTATACATGGTTATAAGCAGATGATACAACACTCAAAAATAAAATATACAGAATTTCAGCTGTGGAGCATTCTTCAGATGTAGGATCTCACAGAATCGTGTATCTGCATTTTTCAGTGTAGAATTAGCCTCTGCTTGTTCCCTTACAGCTAGCATACTGATGAAAACTTCAGATTGTTTTGGTGCTTTGTTTTCAATTTGGTGTTTTGTTTTTCAATTTAGTGCCAAAATTCTTTCCAGGAATTATGAAAGTTATTAGACAGAGCACAACTGGTGTGAGCAAAAAACCTGGGGACTCAAACTGTTTAGAAGTTTACATGTTAACTATTTGAAGCTTCACTTTCTAACTTTAAAGAGCATCTGATTGACATAGCTACAGATATCCTAAACTAAGATGAAGAGCTGTAAGAAATGTCTGGAACTTGAAGATTTCTTTAGCCAATCAAAGTTTGTGGCTTGTACCCTGAAGGTATGAACAGTCATAGGCTAAACAGACAGTTCTTTGTCTTGACATTTCTTATACTTTCTGTATCCAGAAAGTCTGTCAAAACTGGCTTCAAAGTGGTACCCGTAAACCCATTCAGGAACTGAGATATGAGTTATTTCCCTCATACTGCATGCAGCCCTAACCTACTGTAGCTCTGAGCTATTACCTTCTATTTTCACATCTGAAAGGAAACCACAGAGGGAAAAGTGTGACAGCTAAAATGAGCTTTGCCGTCACGTCCATCAGTAGTTTAAAAAAACGTTAAGAATTTTCTTTTGCTTTCAGAACATCAGTGTACTGGGGACATACAGCATGTCAAACTAAGGGACGCTAAGAATCGTGTACTCAGAGCTGAGGGGATTTTGGTTTTTCATCTTTGTAGAGTTTTATTATGCTTTAGTAAAACTACTGTACATCAAAAGGTTTCCTAAACAAACAATGTTGCTATTAAAAAAACAACAAAAATTCCAAATATTAATTTTTATTTTACATTATACTAAATTACTTTTGTCTGAAAAGCATCTGATGTTTCTGATTTGTTTTGCAGTTGACACCTGTTGGCACCACAATATTTACGGGCTTTTCTGGAAATAATGGTGCCACTGACATTGATGATGGACCTAATGGACAAATTGAATATATAATTCGGTACAATCCAAATGATCCAGTAGGTGATTTTTTTGTGGATTATGGCAATTTTTATGCATTATATAGATTATTTTATATAGATATTATTTTATATATTCAAAATGTCGCTGAAACCTGGGCCATTTTCTGCAAATAGGACTAAAACCTAGGATGTGGACTGACTATAACTGTACTAAGAATTAAGAAGAGCACAGCAGTACAGTATGTGACAGTTCTGTATTTTGTTTGCAGACTTCGAACAGAACATTTGACATCCCGCTCACTTTATCTGGCTCTGTTACTCTGAGGGAGAGGCTGAATTATGAAGAAAAAACACGCTACTTTGTAATTGTGCAAGCTAACGTAAGTAATTTTTCATCTCACCATTTTAAAAGAGACACATCCTTTTATACTAAACAATGTACGATTAAAAAAACATTTTGAGTCATTTTTTCTTACTCATGCATGTCCCATATTCAAAGTGTTGATGTCATGCTTTTGTTCTTCAATTATGGTCCTTTATTGTTACGGTTGCTCTTGTCCTTTATCAAATCCATGTGAACATGTTTTGGCCATCAGAAGCTGATTTGTGTCCTGAATTGTATCCTGAAGTTTTCTTGAATCATTTAAAGACAGTTCAGTTTGAAATTTGTTCAGGCAGGAAAAAACAATCATGTCAAAAAACCCATTTCTGGTAACCAGACTGTACTATACCTGTTGACAGTATTTTCCTATGCAATAAACCAAATCATTTTCACTTATTCTGCAGTTACCTGAAATCTCGGGTTGAAATAAATGCAATTACATGTTGATTCTTGTCGCCATTAATGATAACAAAGACGCTGGAAAAGCAGAACTGAAATACAAGGCTTTATATCAGCATTCCTACAGATCTAGCCATTCAAAATGTGCGAGGTACGGTGCATTAAAACACGGTGGGCTTGGCACAATATAACGCATCATACCGCATGTTAATTGAAATATGATAATAGTATACGGAAGCTCCTTGTAAAACCGCCAGGTGGAGCTAATAAAGCTTAACGTCTCATGCACAGCATTTGAGCTGTCGCCAGAAAATGCCCAGTTTTGAATTGCGGTCATCTTTTTCCAGATAAGAATTTAAGTCGTATACTCTTTATACTTTTAATTATTTTAAACTGTGTATTACAGCATGTTATTCATTAAACATTAAAAAGTTGGTATATTTCTCAGTTGCACAAAAGTACATAACCTTCCACCTTCATCATAAATATTTTAATTATGCATAAATATTTTATGCATCAAAGTCTTTAACTTGGTAACTTATTGTACATGGGTTCTGGTTTTAACGTGCTTGTTCTAACATTATTGAGCTTATATTCTGCACTTCATAAAAAGTTATAAATGCTATAGTGATTTAACATCACTTGATAGTTATATTATTATGGAATTGTGTAACTAAGCAGCTAAAGTATCACAAGTGGACATTCTGAAAACATTTTGACATTTGTTTATTTTTTTTTAAAAAACTTATATTTTCCTTGTAATGGTAATGAGCACTGTAATGTAGCGAGCTACACCAAGGCGGTTCAAATTGTGATCAGTGAATTATTTTGTTTCTTACATAGCCAAATATATAAAAATAGTCAACTGTAAACTGAAGAGTTAGAGACGGCACGTTGAGTCTTATCTTTTCATCTTGGAATTTAACCTTTGCAGTGATCCTTTTGGCTATATTTTTTACATAGCTGAATGAGTAAAAATAGACTGGATTAATAACTGGAGTAAGAAAAGATATTTCACACCTTATTTGAAACCATACGGCTTTGGAACAGCGGGAGGTGAGACCCGGCTGGGAGGGGGGGGGGCGCTATTTTGATTTTCCTGGGCAAACCGTATTCGCTACAATACTATAATGAGTCCCTGAGGCATACCGTTCAAATTTCTGAATTATAAAAAATAAACCTTTGTTGAGTTTGCATGATGTCAAGACAAAAGGTATTTTTTGAGAAGCCATGTACTGCTTGCAAAGTAGCAGATTTTGACAAACAGCTAATTTTGCTTGAAGAATTTAAAATCTGTCAATACTGTAGTTTCATTTAATTGAGCAGAAAGTCACGTTGCTCTTCGAAGCGGCTCTGTTAAGCAGAGTTTGTGTTAACATACCGCACCCTTTTGAATGAGTTTTAATCAACTTTGTCTGTCAGTGAAAAAAATGACCATGGTCACTTTTCCTACCCCCCTGGTGTGAGGTTATAATGCGGAAAACGTTTTTTTTTATTTTACTGGGAGTGTGAACATTAAGTGAGCACTGGGGCGTACAGTGAGATTAACACAGTGAGAGTTAAACAAAGGAGGGAAGAAGGGTTATTTTTACAATTGGCACGAGATTCTGACTGATTGAATTCCCCTCATTTAGCTGAAATGGATAAAGAACTCCTGCAGTAGTTACTGTATATGTATGCGAAGGCGCTTGTTTTATTAACAGACACTCCAACTCAAACCTGTGTCATACAGTGATATAGACGTGGGTAATGTCATCCCCATTAAACAATGTGCTTATTACGCAAATCCTGCTAGATTTGAAGCAGAAGGTGATACACTGTACATTGTTTACTGGAGCGCAATTGAGTTCAAAGAAGGAAGTCTGTGAAGCCCCCGTGTTTATTGATACCAAATATTGATGAGATGTCAATGTTCTGTACAGATTACAGAAAAGTGAACACTGAAACTCCACCAGACATTGTATGTACTGTTTAACCATAGTCAAGGTTAAATAGTCAACATAGTCAACCGATGCGCTGTTCCCATTTGTATCAGGGTTACTCCCTTGAAATTAATTCCTTTTAACTCTTGAGTTTGTAATGTCAGGCGCTCTGAACGAGTTAAGCTTTGATGCAGTATAAATAAAGCTATTTCCCACAAGCTATACTGTAGTGGCTTTGAAACTATACAAAATTGTGCTGGTTGCGTGTGGCACGTCTTTGTTCAAGTTTTAAAACTACAGTATGGAAAAACGGGTGTTAAAAAAAAACTGGACATTTGATTGCTGGCCGCCTTATGTTAAACAGCAACAATGCCAACAGAGCATACTACTGAAAATTCCTTCCCATCCCCCAGAACTGTCTATTCTAAATAACATTAGTCTTTATGAGAAGTACAGAGCTGCGTTACATAAAGTGGCTGCAATGGAATATACTAGTAGTTAAAAGTTAATTCCAAGCTGGAAAGAAAAGACACATGTCTCCTCTATAAATCTTCAGTTTACAGACCGTCCAAGGTCATTTATTATTAATAATATCTTCCATATCATATCAAAATTGAAACGTTTTTTTCAAGTATAAACCCACCTATTTTCTGACCGCTTTATCCAGGACAGGTAACAGTTTCACCCTCCCCCTTCCCTGACTTGTTCCCATTCTTAACCATTCTGTGTTGAATCGCAGCAGGTGAGAGAGAGAGAACCCTGTTTTTTTTTATAATCAGATTTAACGTATGTTTTAACATAGTCTTGCAAATTATTTTTACAAGATGTGGAAGTGCAACAATTTATCACAGTGCAAATTGTAATACTAATTATTGATTAAAAGTAAAAATTTAAACAAAGAGGAGTAAAAAAAGTAAAACTGTAAGTGGATTACAGTAATACTACTGTACCAGCTATTTAAATACATATATTTAGATCCTAAAATGAATATCATTATTAATTTCTTTAGATAAGCGATTCCATATTATATTCCCTATTTTGCGGATTCTAAAAAGTATGAGGCTTTTTACTGCGATAATGAGCACAAGTATTAATAGAAAAGGTTAAAACATGGAATACAGAGGGAGTTTCAGAAATTATACAGAGGTCTGGAACAACCTGTCTCAAAAATATATGTTTAATAAATTGAAGTTCTAAAATACAGTAACAAATCACCCCAAACAAAATACAGTTTTAAAATACAAGCAGTTTGAAACTATTGGTTGTTATTAATAAATCACTTAACTTTGAACGTGTTGTGATATTTAGAAATACCAACAAATTCAATATAATGTCTATAATATTTACTATTTTAGTTTTTTAAACAGCTCATAATAAGGGCATAGTTTCAGACAATAGCTAAGAGCAAAAGCAACAGCTGACAAGGACTTTATGCAGACATAGCTTAGTAATGATGGTCCTGGTATGTTTATGTTTTTTTTTGCTGTGTAGTTTATGAAGGAGTTACAGTATGACTATGTGTTTAGCCTCAGGTAAAGCATTAGTTATCATTTTATCAAATCTTATGTATTATATTATTTAGTAGTTCTGCTTCTTTTTGAACATTCCAGTTAGAAATTGTAATTGTGTCCCATTATTGGAAATAGTCCATTTTGTTTGCAAATGTAGATTTTAAATTGTTTACATTCAAACATATGGATGGAGTCTGAGATAATGTGCAGTACAGATGTGATGAGAAATGTCTTTTATACATATTTTTATTTATCTTGTTAATATAGACAGTAACATGAAATGTAATTTATGTAGCCTAAAATATATTTGGTAGTATATTATTCACTATTGTATTAAAATGTTTTACTATAATGTTTTACATAATGTATTGGCTTTATTATGACAGGACCATATTTTTCTGGGAATAGTTACTATTTCTACGTAATTTTTTATGAAGCCACACTTCTTAGCTGTATTTAAAAAGCATTAAGCCTGTTAACTGTATTAAGATCATTAAATGAATGCTAGGCTGGCTATCTAACGAGACGGTGATGCCATGGTTGTATCATGCCATTCAGGTTGTATCTGGATGGTCTGCAGAAAATTAAGGGATGAATATTATAACTATTATATAAGTAGAAGTTTGATTTTGTCATTCTCATATTGTATATCAGCTGTATTATTTTGAATTAACTTTCACACTGAGCAAACTTAATACTAAGATACCACACACTGCTGTGAAATTAAAGAGCATACCTCAGCATATCATATTCAGTATATCTGCTCTGTACCAATGTATCTGTGTGTATCCAGTGTTGGTCATTGGATCACACCAAATATATAAACATTCAATATATTACTATTTTACCTTTCAATTTTGCTTTCTGGCTTTACATACTGTATGTACAGAAATTAAATTCATTTAAGCAACCAGATCTTTCCCATCTTTCTGAAGGTATGCTTGTTTCAAATACTTGTTTTCAATTTCAATTTAATGAGGTGGACAGACAAGGACCGAGACTGAGGAGTTTGGAGTTTGTGGGTTGATTTTTAGAACAAATTTACAGCCAGTATTTGCTCAAAAAATGAAGTGTCACTTTCTTTGTATTCAGATTTTAAATTATGCTGTCAATTTTTAAAAGGTTTGTGTTTCAAAAGATAAATTCTTAAATATGCTTGCAAGGAAATTTTTTCAGATTTATTTTAGGATGAAATCAAGAAGTAAAATCAGCACGCTGAAAGATCATTTGACAATAAGAATATAAGACAGCTTACCAGCAAGTGAGCCCATTTGGTTTCAGATTGGCGGAGCAGTGGCTCTGTGGCTAAGGATCTGCGTGTGTGGCTAGAAGGTTGCTGGTTCAAATCCCACATCTGGCAGAGGAATCCTACTCTGTTGGGCTCCTGAGCAAGGCCCTTCACCCCAACTGCTCCAGGGGTGCCGTACAATGGCAGACCTTGTGCTCTGACCCCAGGCTCTCTCCCTGCCTGTGTGTCTCATGGAGAGCAAGCTGGGGTATGCGAAAAGATGGAAGATAATTCCTAATGCAAGAAATTGTAAGGGTTAATAAAGTGATGTTAAACATTTGTTAGTTATAAGTCTCTAGGTTAAACATGTAATTGTGAATTAACATCTACTGCTAGGATGTAAACCATCCTTCCCATAAAGTGCAGATCTTTGTAAGAAGATTTTCCAGTTGTCATATTCAATGTTCTCTACACTACACCACACTAACGTTTTAATCAGTTATCTAGAGAAATCTACTTAAAATTTCACTGTTCGTAAAATGCTTTTAAATCCTTCTTGAGGATCTCAGATTGTCCTAACCTTGTATTATTTGTGACAGCATCTAAAAAAACAGTAAAAACCTGACATGTAATTATTTTGTCTATTTGAAAATAAAATGTATTTTACTTTTGGCCCTGGTAAACATTTAAGACTTATTGTCTTCTATTTGGTAAAAGCTGTATCATCATATTTAAAAAAGGAATTTTCTTCTTAGAGCTACTGTCATTGTTAAATTTTAACATTTTGTTTATTACAGTAAATACTGTCCTTTACCAAAGTCGTAGTTCTTATCTCTTAGGTTTAGTCTTTTAGTTTTCTTGACACTGAAGGGATATCATCTGAAATTGAAAAGTGGAGTTTGCTCAGTGGAATTTGTAGTGTAATGTACCTCAGCCAGCAAGTGCTTGAATGGATCCCAGTTCAACAACAAAAAAGAGTATCTGTCATTTCTACAATGAATGGATTAGCCAGAGTCTTCTTGAAGGCATATTCTTTTTAAGATCATCAGTCTGCTCATTGCAGGGTTCAATTGTTGTGGCAGTATCAAACCTTATCTCCTGATAACTTCACTGCCTGCTATTCTGGGATTTGAAGCAGATAAAAATACAGTAACTATGGATTTTTTTGTATTTGTTTTTCTATTTATGGGATGTGCCATTTACAATAGGATAGGATTTGGGAAAAAATAAGTTATATTTCAGGTTCTCTAAATGTAAATTAATGTAAACTATTTGTACTGGTAATTTTTGAGGTTATTACTGAAGGTATAATTCAAGCAGTAATTCACTTTCTTTTTCATGTGCTGAGGGGATTAGCAAGCAGTTTGTTTGATGTTTTGATTATCTTCAGGCTTGTGCCAACCCTCACTCTAGTTTACCTTCTTCTTGTTTCTGGTATTATTGTGAATGAACTACAATTTATGACATTTAAGTTGTGTATAGTTAGTATATTAAATAGTACTGTGTTTTCTGCTTAAGTGTCTTTATTGAAGCTGTTATCATGGCTTTCTTCAGAATTTCTTTGTTTGCTCAGACCTCTAGAGCTGCATACTAGACTCTATGAATTGCCATGCCAGAATTTTCCTTCAGAATTTGCTGCCCCTATTTACTTGTCATTCTCAAGTGAGAATTAATTAACTGTTATTTCCCAGTGTCTTCAAATCTTGAGATTTTGTGCTTTTTGCTGCTTGCACTGCAGGTTAAATGTCTTTGTTTCAGGTTTCTTCTGGATGGTTCTGTATATTCGAGTCCGCAGGGCAGGCAACTGTGTGCGACATTTTTTTCTAGTGCGAAAGCATGCTTGGGTATAGGAAAATATCCACTTTTGGTATCCGTTGGTTTCACGTAAAATCTTTTTGCTTTGAAAGCAATGGACACTACAAGCAAACATTTCCGAGAACAATTCAGGAGCTTGTCTGCTAGCACTCTTAACAGTGCTTAGAAGATAATAGGGGCTGCATCTGTCAGGGAGGAAGTACTGCATGACTATATCAGGAGCAACCAACATTTTTTTAAGCAAAGAGCACCTTGGTAAGAAAGATAAGAAAGTTGGTTTGTCTATGCAGTGAGACTGAGATGGGAAATATTTCTCTCATGCCCATGAACTACCTTTCCACTGTAGGCAGGACAAATAACCTTAAGGTGGGAAAAGAAAATTAATCCCCTCGAAAAAAACATTCACATTTTAAAGAGGGAATTTAATATTTATTTGAACCAAGCTGTAAATAAAAGCATTTATGTATAAATACATTCTGTATTTGTTTTCCAAGAAAGAAAGACAAGAAAAAAAAACTTCTATTGGAAAGTCTACGCATGCCTGAACTTTGAACATTAGTGTCTCGCTAGATGTTTGATCAACTGCACTACAGTTGTACGGTTGCACAGGGTACACAATTTTTTCCTATTTCAACAGGACCGTGCTCAGAACCCAAATGACAGAAGAACAGCCACAACCACACTGACAATTGATGTGCTGGATGGAGATGACTTGGGGCCCATGTTTCTCCCCTGCTCCCTGGTGAACAACACACGAGACTGTCGCCCCCTGATCTACAGAGCTAGCATTCCGGAGCTCACTGACCCAGTAAGTCTGTGCCTGTCACTCTGCTCTTCAAATATTTGCATTTGGTCTAAATGTTCTAGCGTTTCTTGAGGTAAGATTGATGAGGCTGTGAAGCAGTTTTTCATTAGTAAAGTCAAAGTTTAGGTACTACTGTAAACATATTTTTGGAAAAAAAGCAAATCTGGCTCATTCAATTAGTCATGGTTTGAACACTCAGAGATAGTTTGCCTACACTGTACTCGGTGTGTATTCAAAATGTCTCTGTGCTGTACATCTTTTTATTTCTAGGTTAAATATATATGAATATTTTACTTAATTTAAATTGACTAATTTGATAACTTTGTTTTAAAATCGCAGCCTTGTTTTCTTTCATTTTGATATGTGAGACATCTATACATTTAATGAAATAATTGAAAGTACCTACTGTACGCTCTTGTGTTGATGCCACTGTATACTATTTTTGGGTACTTTCAAGAACTACACAGTGAAAACCAAACTAGCTTAAAAAATACCTCAAATAGGTAAATGTAGCTAGAATTGTATGTTAGTGTTAAAAATGGCTAAAAATCTTTATTCTTTTTGTGATAAGACCAATGTAATTAGCTTCTCCATTACACTTCCTTGTGTTTAGGCTTCAGAGGGGGCACTTGCTGACATAATGCGAATGCCAACTATTACTATAGCCTGAAGGAAGGACCAAGATCAATGTTAAGCAAATAAAAATATAACCTTAAGTTTTAAAAATGACAGAAAAAAGAGGATGACGTATTACCACTCCTATGATCCTTGTTCATGCTCTCTTTGGGGAGAATTTCTGAACATAATCAAGACATATACTGTACACTCTATCAGTTTTCAATCACTGTTGTCACACAAAGCCTTACCCTGGAGTATGCTATAGTGGTTGTCTCTTCAACATGTTTTTGACTCCCATAGGCTTAGGCATTGTTTTTTAGATGATAAATTATATCCAGTTAATTTGCTGTATATTGACTATTACAGTAAACCACAATTGCCCTCTATTAAAATAATTATTCTCTTTAGTAGCAGCAGAGCAGCGCTATGCATAATAAGCAGAAACTAAAGAAAACACAATTGCACTTGATAATATTCTGGTGAGTGATGTCCTGTAAGTAAAAAAAAACTCCTGTGAATAATCTAATAGTGGCATTTTTAATTTTTATACAATTAATCCATTTTATTTTGTTATTGTTTGTTTATTACTGAACTTTAAGTAAAATACAATTAGGTTATGCTTGATAAACACTGTTGGAGATTTCTTTTATTACCAAGAAGCATTTTTAACCCAATTTCTTCCAGATTTTATGTTGAGATGTAAGAACGTCTAGGGAGTTGGTGCAAATCCATTTAATGGAGCTCTCATATTAATATGCATAATCATCGATATGTGACAAGTAATTAGTGGTAGTACTCTAACACAGTTGAAGAATGTGCCAGATCTGTTCTTGTTTGTGATACTACTGTATGTTGTGATTAACCTTTAATATGACCTGTGATGGATTCATGGAATAGTTTGTGGATCATGGTTTAAGGCTCTACATGTGTGATCAGTCACAGTGAGCTAGAATTGCATCATAATAAAGGTTAGACTACAAACAAGAGGAGGTCATTCAGCAAATCTAGCTCATCTGGTATTTAGTAGATAATTTATTCAATAATCTCATATAGTAGTCATTGAAAGGAGACAAGCAACCAGCTTCTACAACATGGCAAGGTAGCATGTTTCATATTCTCATAACCCTTTGCATAGAAAGTCCCTCATATGCTTGGTTTTAAGCGCACTGCCACATAGATTGTACTTCTGTGTTCTTTTTTGCGTTTCACGGTTTATTAAGAAGACCAGTGCTTTGATTTATCAATGATTTGAGGATTTTGAATGCTTGTGTAGGGGTTTTGTGATTTTACTGAGACAATTATTAATTGTAGCAGTAATCACGAGGTGGTTCGTTATGGCTTTTAGAAAATCAATCGTCAGAACAACTTAAAACACACACACACAGATTCAACACAGATACATTTATTAAACATAAATTGTGCACCAAACATATACCAGTCTGCCTGGATACAGGCGGCAGACCTTACTGTGAGGGTTATCAATATACAAAGTATGTAATCTCAAAGAGATGCAAACACAAAGAGATATACAACAGAGAATATATTTCAATATATCGTTCGGCTATACCAAATCGCTAATCAGTGTTATTACCCACTGTTACACTAGACTCGGAAGTAAATACATTACTCATGAATTAAATTGATAACAACTTGTGATGAGGTAACAATTAAATTCTGCAGACGCAATGTAGAACATGGGGTTTACTTATCCACCGTGTATGGATTGGGATTTTCCGGCACGAACACCAAACCAGCTGACAGGCTCTGTTGCAACCTCTGTTCCAGCGGTCGTCCAATAGGCGTTGTCCCGGCGTCCTTTGGCTACCGGAGGTGCAGCTCGGAGTAGGATGGGCGGAGGAATCTAACTGTGGCGCCCAGGAGTCTACTAGTAGTCCGGCTGACTAGTAGAAAGTCTCTATGCACAAAGTGTGACCGCGGGTCCTCGCAAGTCACTCTTTTGCACGGGAAGAAAACTGGTTCATTCCCGGGCCAGCACTGCTTCTGAATAAGCTATTCAGGTTGTCGACAAGGGTCCAACTGTAGGCTGCCATTGATCAAGCGGTGCATTCACATTGGTCGTTGCAGAATTCTGAGTACGTACGGGATCCTCGACCTCGCGCTTAGAACAAAGTCCAAGTCCCAGTGCAGACAACAGCGGTTGTCACGTGATTGTCTCTGAGGGTGCGCGAAAATGGCCATGGAGAGCCCCAACCTGAGCGTGTGCTACCTTTTTGACCAAGACACAGATGTGTGCTGATTGGTTGAGAGTTTGGCGGGCATTGGAGACCCACGTGGTGTTACCACTCCCTGCCAGTCCCTGATTGGTTAGTCAAGGTGAGATATGAGTCACTTACTCCTAACACTTAGGAATGCAGTCCAGATGTCCTTCTGGCACTCCCTAGACAGATAGGCGTCAGGAATGACCATTGATCATGATAGCCAGGTTTAGCTAAATGCATCCCCATTTGGGAACTGTTTCTTATCAAAAGAAAACACCTTAAATCAGCCTGCATGAATAGCTTCTCTGTGCCTGCACCACAGAGATGAAGAGAGAGATGGGGCCTCATTTAGGAAAGCACAGCAACGCTTAATTCTGTCTTATTAACAAGCATTGCCGCTACAGTTGCATATGGTCTCCTCAAGTCATCATGGCCCCTGATGGATGTTTGATATTTTCTGTTTATGACTATATTGAGATGTTCATCTGAGAATATGGGACAACAATAATTTGCTGTCTCCAAGGAGCTGAGGTGGCTGGTGTCGTAGAACCGACAGGCCCCTAGCGGAGGCAGACAACAATTCAGTTGTTTTTATCCATCAATTCAAACAACAATATAAACAACACAATGTCAGCATAACATATTGATAAAGACATGGTTGGCAAAACAAGACTTCAGAATTTTTGACCACTGGAAAATGATCCACGATAATGAGATGGACAGCAGTCATCTTGACCCAAGGATTCCTAAAGAAAAACAAAAACATAAAACCATTTAAACTAGAATGGGAGGGGGAGAAAGCAAAAAAGATTCAAAAGTATGATACATGGAAAGCAAAGTCAAAAAGAGACTGAGGTGAAAATGTTCTTAAGATGTGGTGTTAGGAGAATAAGATAGAACAAGTAATGGTTAATTCCATGAGATATGTAGGAAGATAGGTTGTTGAGCATTCTTCAGGGGTTGGGAAAGAGAGGAAGGTAGCAGGGATGTAAAGCACAGATTTTCAGACATATCTCCCTGCATTTAAACACTCTTTCTCAACTGCTCTGTGCCCATCCTCACTTGCTCTAGTGTTTGTTCCCCTGTGCTTTGTATCCCTGTTACCTTCATTTCTGAAGAAGTCTCAACAATCAATACGTGTTTTTTTTATTTCCGTATTTCAGTGTGGAATTAACAGTTACTGTAGTTGTTCCTTTGCAGCCAATGCATGCTGATGCAGCTCCACTCTAAGAGTATACAATAGATGCCAATTAGAACTCAACGGTGTATAAAAAAGTTAAGAATTTATGTGCTAAATTAGAAGTATTGTCTATGGGAGACTTTAACTTTATCCATATAAACTGAAACAAATACTACTGTATAGGAATGTCAAAAGCAAAACCCACAATTTCTTACCCAGTTGTTGGAACATCTACATTACAAGAAGAACTACTTGTGTTGATTTTCTCTTTGTGAGGGAAACAGATGTGAGAGAACCATTTGGGAACTGTGATCATAATGTGCTTTGAATTTGACATTAGAACAGTCTGGGCTGAATCCAAATCAATTATTTAATATTTTGGGAAACGAGACTTTGAAGGAAGACGGAGCTTAACAGAAGTAAAATGGGGTAAAACAGATATGGAATCAATGAAGAATGGATGGCAATAGTTTAAACAGATTGTGCTTTAAGCACTCTTATTCCAAGAGTGAGTAAATCAAAAATGAAACTCGATATCATACATTTTTCAACAAATCAGGTAGGACAAATATAAGAAAAAAGAAAGCAAATCATAAAATTAAAAAAAGAAACAACAAGATTCAGTTGAATATGTTTACAATTAATTGCAAGCACAGATACAAAGGATATTAGATAGGCCAGGAGGGAAACAGAAAGGAATATTACAACAGCGCTAATGTACTAATGTACTAAATTTATTTTTCACTTAGGTGTTCACTATGGGAGACAACAACATATCTCAGGTAGCTAAAGGATAAATATTATTAACATAGAAGCAAACGTGTTTCAGGCACTAGATTTACTCTAGATTAATAAATACGTTTGGCTTGATGGAATCATACCAAAGGCACTTAAGGAAACAAGATTCATATAAAAAACTGTCACCTGTGTTTCTAGTTTCAGTAGTGAAGTTTGTTCAATATTACAGGTATGTGCAATAATAGAAA